CTAGTTGATGTGCATCAGCAGGACTCTCCCTACTGGTGGTTAACCCTTACCGGACTTCAAGTGGACGGGCTGAAGTTGGATATAGTCGGTTAGGACCAATGCCTAAGCCAATACCGCTCATCACCTGTAACCAATAAAGCTGTGGCCTTATTTAGCCCATTAACCTTAATAATTGTGCCATGTGTCTTTATTTGCCACGCAATAAGATCAAGTCACAAACCTGCTATTACAAAGCACTGTGGGTCACTGAGTTGATTCCCTTGGCTTCTTAGGCACCAACAGGGGTGACAACTTGAATAAAATATTGGGGGAGGGGATCAGGTAAGCCCCACCCCGCATAATCAATCACACAATGTGGCACTTGTACACCATTTAAATGGCAATGTCCATCAGCTTTAGGGGGGCCCCGACCCCCTTAAATATTTATTACTCCTATGGGTATCAACACTTTAGGCATATATGTAGTTCAGATATTACATACCTCAGCTGCCATGTAACAGTTCTGCTGCTCTGATGCTATGACATGGAGCAGTAGTTGCAATTGTTCCTGGTAAGCTATCTCAGAAGACACCTTATTCCCTGCATGAGTGTTGATGGAACTGCTCTGACCACTCACAGCAGCATTGTTCATTGCTGCAGGACACCTGAGCTGTATGGTCTCCTAACTTCAGGCGTGTTTTGACTCTGCTGTCCACTTTTGTGTCAATCGCAGGCACATACGTTTTGCAGCCTATTACAGACTGCAAAGCACATGGTGCAGCAAAACTGCGAGCAATGAAACTAGGCCTATAACTCAAATTTGGGCTGAGCAGAAACAGGCACAAAGCGCTCCTCTTATGGAGAGCACTTCTACATCACCAAAATTAAAAGACAAAACAGAACGGTTATTTGCAAAACATAAATAATGCATATGCTCATTTAAATGTGGAGTTGCAAATTTTTAAATAATTGTTATAATTCAGAAAGAAATACAGTGCCACCTTGGTTCTCAAACTTAATCCGTTCTGGAAGTCCATTCCAAAACCAAAGTGTTCCAAAACCAAGGTGCGCTTTCCCATAGAAAGTAATGCAAAATGGATTAATCCGTTCCAGACTTTTAAAAACAATCCCTGAAACAGCAATTTAACGTGAATTTGACTATCTAACGAGACCATTGATCCATAAAATGAAAGCAATAAACAATGTACTGCAGTCACACAATCAATCAAAACAAAACAAAAAAGAGCCACAAAAATGCAAAATAAATAGCACAAACAAACAGACTTCAGCGTAACACTCAAAACAGAAGTGTGGCACTCAAACAGGAAGCACAACATTCAAAACGGAGCACGTTCGGCTTCTGAAAAACATTTGCAAAGCGAAACACTTACATCCGGGTTTGGGTTCCAAGTTGTTTGAGTACCAAGGCGTTTGAGAACCAAGGTGCCACTGTACAGTATACATCACCATTGTATGGGAGACCATGATCAAGTGACCAGTAGGCCTGTTCAGTCTGCTGTCCAGGAAATAACTGATATTGGTGAACACTGGCTGGGGGAAAAAAGCCCTGGTTGTAGGAAACTCATAGTTAAATAAGTATTATTGAATACACACTGAATAAAAAGAGTCAATGTGCACAAACAAGTTTGGTTTTTCTATTGGAAGCTCTCTAGTTCTGGCAAACACAGTCATTGGACCCAACTTCTCCCTTCGTATGTTTCTTTGTCTTTAAACCTGACTTGGACCAAATGGCCTTTCAAACAAAAGACTGCCCCCTGTTGGGACTGACATGTGGCCAAGCTACAACCCACCCCATCCCTAATATTAATGGTTTTTGGAGAGATTTTTAAGCTCAAGAATCACATGCCTCACCTTTATTTGCTGCTGCATTCCAAAGGAATTATTGCAATGGTAATCTGGAACAGATTTCCATGAAATGGAAATCTCATGTAATGCAAACGCCTTAATAACATCTAATCTCTGAGGTAGGCTTGTACGTTCTTCCACATTTGTTCAACGGTTCTGAGAGTATGAATATCCTGGATCTCTTGTCAAAGCAAAAATGTCTCATAGTTTAGTGTTTCCTGCCCCATTACATTTCTTTTTTCTGTGGTTTAAAACTTTAAAGGAAAGCTACTAGACCAGGAACATGAAAAATATTGTTTTGATAGGGATTCTGTACCTTTCATTCTTGTTCATCAAGAGTAGCAGAAAATAGCAAATGACCTTGTACTCTTCAACCTTTAAAGTTATATAGTTCATGAAGCTTCTCAGCATCTGAATCATTCTCTCCGGTTCCTCCCTATATTTCCCCTCTCTGTCTGTTGCTACATCTTTGTAAAACTGTCAAGAATTCTTGAGAACAATATAGTCTTTCTTTTTTACTTCAAAGTTTGTTGGAAGATTGATTACAGACTTCTCTATTGATCTCTACTTGGGTCTTTGTAAATATAATTGTGGAAATATGTTCAAATGACAGACCAACATTTTAAGCAACACACTATTCTTTCTTTCTCGCATCGGCTTTTAGCACCTGAAATTGTTTTTCAAAAGAAGGGGAACAGAATGCTGAAGTTTAGCTCCTCGGATCTAATAGCAAAGAAATCTGTATTTCGATAACTTAATTATTAAGAAACCAACCCATTTTCATTAAGACCAACGGCATCTAACTGTTATCCTTGTCCTGTGGATATACAGACGTCCTGTGATGAAAACCAAAGTCAAATTTTCATTTTTTAAGCCTTTTCCCATAATGAATATTTCTTCTGAACCTTCCTTTCATGACATATTCCATGTCATGAAAACTAATGCAAAAGCTCACTTCTGCAATAGAAGGCGTCAGGACCATTTCACTTACTGTAGTTTTAGGTATGCATTGAAGATGTTAAAAGTAATAAAGTAAATAAATAAATGTTTTAAGTGGACATCTAAAAATATCAAGTGTGACTATGACTCACACTTGTTTGCAAATATGTGGATCATACAAGTATTATCACCAGAGGCCCATGATTGGTTGTAGCTCGTGTTTTGGTGGTAAATCTGAGTTTGCCTCTTCATATTGTACAAAATAGGCATCAGAGGATAAGCAGATAGACTTTTCTATGTCCCCATAACTGCCTTGTCCTATTGCAAAAAGGAAGAACTAGGAAAACATCTGATAGCAAAGGGCATATTTACCTCCTTATTAGATTTATTTCCCATCTTCCTCCTTAACAACATGATTCAGAATAGACCACATGTCAGGGCTGCCTCAAGTCTCAGCTCACAAAAGACCAACGCCTATGTCTTCTTATATACAAAAGTGTTTATTGCAGTTCATTGTTTGCTTGACATCCTAGGCGCGCAGCCCTACGTCTGCTACGCTTAGACCGCTGAAGTCCCCTCTGAATCCGTCCCTCCCCTGCACCAATTTAAGAGGCTTGCGCTGCTCCACCTCTTTCTCTCTTTCCTTTTCCTCAGGGTCCTTCTGCCCGCTGGGGTTTCGCCCCTCCTGGATTCCTCTGACGCGGAATCAGACTGCTCTTCCCCCCTCCTGCGGGCTTTGGGACCTGGCCCCTCCTCCGGGCTCCCTGTACTTCCGCGCGCCTCTACATTTGAACTTGGCGCGCACGCCAAACCTCTAACTTTCCTTTTGACAGTTACACTACTCCCTTCACTGCTCCCCTCCCCTTCCGGGAGGGTGGCTTGCTCTGACCTCCCTCCCTTCTCTGCTGCCGGAGCTGCTCCCCTGATACACTGGAAACTCCACCCCCTTCGCTGCACTCTGGTGGGGAGGCTGGTCCTGACGCCCAGCTGCCACTTTGGGATCCTCCGCTGGCCCCCTGCTCCTGACACGTCCCCTGGGGCTCCCTGGCCTTGACCACCGGCGCACCCTTCTGGGAATCCTCTGATTCGCTGGAAAGACTCATGGAATCTCTTGAGTCATTGTCATCCTCTTCCTCGCTGGCTTGGGATTCATCCCCATCGCTCTCCATCTCCTGCCTACCCTGTGCCTCTCTCCCTGAACCCCTGACACCACAAGAAATTCAGGAAAAATAAATAAATCCTAATATATAGCCCCATTGTGTGGGTGTGGAGAGAGTCTCTTCCTTCAAATTCCTGGGAGTTTACCTTAGTGAAGACCTCACTTGGAAAAACAATATAACTCAGGTGGTTAGGAAGGCCCAACAGAGACTCCATTTCCTTAGGGTCTTGCGAAAGAACAATGTTAAACAACGATTGATGACCTCCTTCTACCAGTCCACAATAGAAAGTGTCCTCTCATATTGTATCACAGTGTGGTACGTTGGCTTGACAGCCACGGACAGAAAGTCTTTACAGAGGGTGGTGAACACAGCACATGATGACATCGCAAGGGACCGTTGCCTTAGGAGAGCGAGAAAAATTCTCAGGGACGATTCACACCCCGGCCAGCACCTCTTTAATCTTCTACCCTCGGGCAGGAGATATAGAAGTATAACCAGTGGTACCAACAGGCTAAAAAACTGTTTCTATGCGTGGGCTGTTAGACTGCTGAACAGAAAATAAAATAGTGCAACTGACTTTCAGGGTTGGTGTGTTGTGCGACAAGCACACAGAGTGCAATGAGATTGAGTGTTTGCGGGGGGAGGGAGGCTCGGTTAACTTCATTGTACACAGGTTGCACATTGACTATAAAGGTATTATTATTAATAAGAGCAAAACAGTAGTGTAACCAACAAGAGAAAAAACTTTCATAAACAAATTATGTAAGCCTGCTGGGGGGCGGGGGGATCCAAATAGCATACTGGACCAGAATTGGTCACCATGTGCCTACATTTTATCTTTGGCTAGTGTACTTGGTAAAACAGGTTGGCAATATTACATTCTGCTTCAAAAACCTGAATGAACTGACTGTGAACGGAGAATTATAATAATTCCCTTAAAATTGACCCTGTGTCCACAATGGTCTCTTCTAGGAACAAGTTTCCATGGAGAATATAGAAGTTCCAAAGATGTCTTTGCTTCTGTGCTGGAACTGAGATGTTCTTAGTTCTGTGTCGCACAGACAATGCAATCCATGTATGGATCCTACAAATTCCCCTATAACTACATCATTTCTCTCTCTCACTCTGTTTTCTTGTATCGGGGAAGTTTAAACGTTTTATATTTTACTGGAAAACCCAGCTAGTTGGGCAGGTAATAATAATAATAATAATAATAATAATAATAATAATAATAATTCCTTATGAAATATATCAGCATTTTGGTGTGAATTTCCCCTATCTTTTTTTGCTAAGCAAATTTCCTTAACATAATGAATTTTTGTACAATTTTTTCATGCATACATACATTTTTAGTCATACTTTACCCTAGTTTATGCATTATTGCACGCATTAGGCAGCTTAAGGTAAAGGGACCCCTGCAGCTCTCATCTCACTTTATTGGCCGAGGGAGCCGGCGTACAGCTGGTCATGTGGCCAGCATGACTAAGCCGTTTCTGGAGAACCAGAGCAGCGCATGGAAATGCTGTTTACCTTCCCGCTGGAGTGGTACCTATTTATCTACTTGCACTTTGACGTGCTTTCGAACTGCTAGGTTGGCAGGAGCAGGGACCGAGCAACGGAAGCTCACCCCATCGTGGGGATTCGAACCGCCGACCTTCTGATCGGCAAGCCCTAGGCTCTGTGGTTTAACCCACAGCGCCACCCGCGTCCCTTATGCAGCTTACTTGGCTGCAGAACTGAACTGCAAAATTCAGAGAATTGTGATTCCTTCCCCCCAGACGATAGCTGTGTTTTGGTTTGCTTATTGTTTCAGAAAATGTGAACGAGATCGATTCATCTGTAAATGTGAACTGAATTGAACTTTTCCTTCCTCTCTAGCTGCTGGTTTATAAACCTTAATAAGTTCCATTTCCAACTAATGTCATTCATACGTCTTAAACATATTTAAGGTCAATCTTATTTTGAAAGACACGAAGAAAGTGTGCTTATTTCCTTATGAGCTTAATATTTACCCATTTTTTAAATACTGAAATAGCAGCATAGAAATCAACGTTTTGCCCTTTACCATTCCACACCCACCTGCCCGTTATCAGCCATGCTGTTAGATGCCACAGAATAACCTATTCTTTAATTCTCTTCCCTGCTTCCTGTCTCATTCAAAGTGGAACCGCTGGGGATTCCTTCTTGGCCAGTACAGACAAACTCAAGAGGTTTTTGGCAGGCCTTTGTTCCCTTCTCTTGACTGTGAATTCTTGTTAAGATTAATTCAGTATCTCACCTTTCATTTTGAGGGTGAATAGAACAAACCACTTACTTACGATTTTACTTATTAAATATATATTTAAGCTGACCTTCCTAGATACAGGTACTCAGGGTAGAGTACAATACATAATACAGCTAAACCGTGTAATAAAATTGTAAAATATGTTCTCCCTAACAGAGAGCACGTGTTGTGGTGGGGGCCGGCAGGCCACCACACTTTTGCTGGGCAGATCTGTTTGGATGTCTACAGGCAGTGATTTGAGTCTCTGGGGAGATTCGATGTTGCCAATTTGGGGGTGGGGAGAAAGGTTTTAAATACTGGACATGCAGCTTTGGGCATCCTCTTGGGCTGCGTGCCCACCCTCCCTGAATTGGGGCTTTATTTTTGCTTTGACCTTGCTATGCCTGTCATGTGGTCGCCTGCTGTTGGGGCAGGGGCCTGGTAGGAATTTTGTCCATTTGGCTGATTGGCTGGTGCCATTTGGTTTTTGCCTACTGCGTAGCAAATCGTCACAACCTGTAAGGTTTGCGGTTAGGCATTGGTTAAAATTGGTTGGTGGAGGGGGAAGTGCCTACCCCTCCAATGGTGGTGCTGCAAGGGAATTCCATTAAATGAATCCAGGGGCTTGCCATGCTTTTGTCCAAGTCCCTGGCATCGGGGACTGCTATGGGGAGAGAGAGCATTGGTGTGCCACCACAAAGAAGGCTTGTGCTGAATCACCACATAATGCACTTGCCCTAATGCTGGAATGCAGAGAAGAGTTCCTGCCAAAGTTGTTGTGGCATAGGCAAGCTACTATGGAGGAAAGTGATTCTTCAGGTATTTGGGTTCTAAGTCATTATCACTAGCACCTCTGAAGAAAATAGAGAGCCACTGTAATTTTCAGAATCAGCGTAGTATGATTTCATCTGGCTAAGCCACCAAACACTATGGTGGTCATATTTTGTACCATAGGAGCCAACTCCTAGAGGCCATGGGAGCTTCAGCCCCCACAATAAAGTATTTGAGGGGGCTGGTCCCCCACAAAGTTGGTGGGCATTCCCATTCAAATGGTGTGTGTGCACTGCGTCATGTGATTGATTATGCAGGGTGGGGCTTACCTGGGCCTCCACAGTATTTTATTCATGTTGGCATCTTGTTCTGCACTACTTGAAGCCTCCAAGGCCAGCTCCATGTATGACACATTAAGCAATGCAATAGGGAGGTTACCAAATCATGGGTCACCGTAGAAAGACTATTCCTGCCCAGGAATGGTCAATAGGTGACATATCAGCTGAAGTTGAATAAATGCTCTTGTAGGGACTTTATGACTAAGAATTGCTACTCCATTATAAGCAAGTTGGAGAGCATAGGGGGGTACACACATTTCTTGGCAGTGATTGGATTAGATTAGAATAATTTACTTTGCTTACTGTGTCTAAATTGGTTTCATATCGAAAAGCCTGACACACTGATTAAGTTAACAGTGATTTTTTTCCATATTCATAGGAAGTTTATTTCATTTGCCACTATAATAAGACAGATTAAGCCAGCCTTGATGGCCACTTCGCCTTATGAGCTCCCTTATGATGAAATGGCATTTCAATCAGCGGACAAGGAATGTGTTGCAATACATGCATGGATGCTACATAAACATACAGAACCAGTTAATATGTACACATTGTTTCCAGCTGTACTTTACAAAAATAGCATTCAACATTGTAATATATATATATAATGTGTGTGTGTGTGTGTGTGTGTGTATATATATATATATATATATATATATATATATATATTCCCAGCATATACATGGATGTTGGGTTCATGGGTTCTCCAGGCACATTTTAGTGAGTCTATCTAATAAGTATTTTTATTTAAAGTTTTCAACATAAAATACAATAAAAATCAATCTAAAGAACAAAAATAATAAGAAACAGGAAAGGAGGGGGGAAAGAAAAGATAAAAAGAACTACACGTGGATGTTGGGTTCATGGGTTCCCTGGGGATATTTTAGTGAACTTTTCTGGAATATTTGTGCCTTCCAATTGTGACTTTAATTGAAACCCATATACCTAGGGTTCATGGAGCAGTCAGATTGTACACTGATTCTGGATTTGTGGGTGCTATTGTTTCAAGAGGACATATATCCAGGAAAAGTAATGTGCTTATGATTGCAGTTTAAAGGAGTAGAAGGTTCTACAGTAGGGTTAGCTACCATGATGGCTTTCAGATATCATTGGATGCCAACTCCCATCAGCCCCAGCCAGCATGACCAAAAGGCAGGGATGATAGGAGCCGTAGTCCAGGAACATCTAGAGGACCCACATTGGTAACTCCTGTTCTATAGAATTAAAAATAAACTCAAAAAAATGGGGAATATCCATAGGTCAGTGATAGAGCAATCTGACTTTCATACAGAAGGTGTCAGGTTCTCTACCATCTCCAGGTAGAGATGGGAAAGATCTGAAACCCAGGAGAACTGCTGTAGACAAGACTAAGCTATGCTTTTTAGCAGGGGTGAATTTGCCACAGACACCCTTCTTGGAGGAAGACATGAGTTGGTGGGGATCACATGGACCAGTATGTCCAATAGGAGAGGAGCGATCAGGCTGCTGTTTTAGAATGCAGCTGTTTACATGCCCAGCAGTGTAGATAAATGTTCCCCTAATATACAGTGGTACCTCGGGTTAAGTACTTAATTCGTTCCGGAGGTCCGTTCTTAACCTGAAACTGTTCTTAACCTGAAGCACCACTTTAGCTAATGGGGCCTCCTGCTGCCGTCATGCCGCCGGAACCCGATTTCTGTTCTTATCCTGAAGCAAAGTTCTTAACCTGAAGCACTATTTCTGGGTTAGCGGAGTGTGTAACCTGAAGCGTATGTAACCTGAAGCGTATGTAACCCGAGGTACCACTGTACCTTAATTCAAACTCACCTGCCCATATTTACATTATTTGTTTGTTGTCTGGCAGATCTTTGTAACTATATTTGAATAAATATGGCCTTTTCACCATTACTCTGACTCTCCAGTCATCTTCCAGGGCGTGTTGACAATTCATTTTCTTTTTACCTGTGATTGATAATCACTCAGATGGTACTGTTAATTGGGCAGTATACAAATGACACTGATAAATAAATGATATTTATAATAATTATTATCTGAATTCCGCCATGATGACTAGTTCAGTGCTATGTCTCTTCAGGCTCACCAGTCTGGGCCCTGTATGTTCTACTATTCATTCCTAAAGTTAAATCTATTTGAGGACATTTTGACCTGAATGCAAAGAACCTCTCCAGCCCCACTATCTTTCTGCCATTGTGTTTTATTCTATGCCTTTATAGTGGTGTAGATTTCAAGGTTAGCTCATCAAACCTGACCTGCTTTATAGCATAAGCCAATCGAATCTTCTCTGTTTATTACTGTACCAAACTAATTAAATTGCATTTGTCGGAAACAGACCTTTTAGAAGTGCTTTGAAAAAGGAACTTGTTTCACACTCTCAGCCACCCACCTTATTCATTTAATTTCCCCACAGTTTTTAGAAACATAGGCATGGGCAGCAATGGGACTGTATGTGCAATGGCTTTGATCTAACAGTCTATTTGTTTTGATTTCTTATTCATTGCCTACCCACGGATTTTCATGTCTCCGGCAAGATTAAACCCGAAAAGGAAAGTAAATAAGCAAATCCAGTAAGGTAAGTAATGAAATCACTGTTCAATTTAATTCCCAACTTTCAAGATGATCCAAAATAGTCCCCACATTAAGACCCCATCAGAAGGTTCCAGGTTCAAAAAAAAAAAGGAGGAAGAAATATCCCTCTAAATGAAAACTTGGAAAGCAGTTGCCACTCAGAATTGATAGTCCTGAGCAAAACGGAACAGGGTGAATTGGTGTGATGGAGCAATCTAAGGGTGGGGGACATGGGGAGATTCTGTGGTAGACCGACCACCACATTCTAAATCTTGCTGGCTTACAGCGGAGGTAGACGCTTGATTTTCCTTTCCTGCTGTTTTCTTTTCACCTCCCATTGCAGTCGGTGGGAGAAAATTTCAGGGATGACGTGGTGTGGGTGTCAGGAGAGCAAGTGGACTTAGGAACCTGCATATCACTGAGCATCCCTGGTAAGCCCACCACTACTTGACCACAGAATACTCTCCTTCAGCCCCCACCATGAGCAGAACACTGTCAGCAGGTCAACCATGGCCACTGAGCTTTTGGGTGGGTCCCTGGCAGTATAATGGTGCCTTCTCTGCTAGCAAAGCAACACTTAAAACTGCTTCCTACAACCTCTCAGCCAGCCTAGGGCATACTGTCCAAGGAGAAAGAACTTGCCCATGTGAAGACCACCTGGTGGAAACCCTTACACATATGGTTCTTAATTGCAAACTATATGCTGATCTCCATCAGCAATTTCTAGATCATCTCTGTATCCCCACATGGAAACCAGAGTTGGAGGTCATACATTTTCTATTACTGGGGAATGATCAGGAGCTCACCAAGTTAGCGGCTAAATATCTCCATTTGGTTTTTTGTCGTCGAAATGCACTGCAGACGTCTGATCTCCCTGGAGACCTAGAGATGTGACGATAGACTGCTCTGCCTCCTTCCTTTTAGCAAATGTTTTGTGCCACTGGGGAAGTGGTAATTCAGTATTGATTTGTTTTGGATGTTTGTATGTGATGCCAATAAAAGGTTTGATGATGATACTGTCCAACATTTTTCTGATGAAAATAGGGGTGTCCTTTTCTGTTGTTGTTGTTGTTGTTGTTGTTGTTGTTGTTGTTATACCCCACCCATCTGACTGGGTTGTCCCAGGCAGCTTTGGGTGGCTTCCAACATATATAAAAACAGAATAAAACATTAAACATTAAAAAAACCCCAACCTTCTACATACAAGGCTGCCTACAGATGGCTCAGGGGTTGGTTAACTCCATGCCCTTCGTCATTTCTCCCATGAAAACAGGAACATCCTAAGAAAAAGTGGGACATTCCAGGACCAAATCAGAAACTGGGATGGCTGCTGTAAAATTGGGACTGTCTCTGTGAAACAGGGACATTTGGAGGGTCTCCTAGGGCCAACTGCAGGAAAGCTCCCAATATTTCTACTTTCCCCTCAAATTTCAAGGTAAGTTCAGATGCCAATACAGTGGTGCCTCGCAAGACGAAATTAATCCGTTCCGCAAGAGTCTTCGTCTAGCGGTTTTTTCGTCTTGCGAAGCAAGCCCATTGACGGATTAGCGCTATTAGCGCTATCAGCTGTTTAGCGGCTATTAAAGGCTTAAAGGCTTAGGGGATTAGCTGCTAAAAGGCTATTAAAGGCTATTAAAGGCTTAGCAGATTAGATAAAGGGGGAAAAGCGAAAAACACTCTCAAGACTCGCCAGGTATTTTCGTCTTGCGAAGCAAGCCCATAGGGGAATTCGTCCTGCGAAGCAACTTCAAAACGGAAAACCCTTTCGTCTAGCGGTTTTTCCGTCTTGCGAGGCATTCGTCTTGCGGGGCACCACTGTACATAAGTCAACAGTATTGCAATGATAAGCAGTGTTTAGGGATTTATTCCGCAAGTCCTTTGTGTTCAACTGGGCTTGGTGCCAGGTAAGTGTTCATTGGCCTGCAGCCTTTACACCATTAAAAACAAAAACAAAAAAAAGCTAGAGACTCGAATGCATCCATTTGATCTCATTGCATCTCATTACATATGCTAATCTTCTGCATACTGTCCCTTGCTTTTTCCTGTAGGACTAATTGCAGTCGTTAACAGTCGTCAACAGGTTTACCATACCCACTGAGTCAATCACCCATCTCCTACTACCCTCCTGAAAAAAACAACCCACCCCACCCTCCCACTATATATAAGGGTCTGTTTCAGTGTATCTGAAGAAGTGTGCATGCACATGAAAGCTTATACCAAGAACAAACTTAGTTGGTCTCTAAGGTGCTACTGGACATTTTATTATTTATTTATTTATTTATTTATTTCAACTGCGTCAGACCAACACAGCTACCTACCTGCATCCAGCAGTTGTGCTGCTCCTGTTTAAGAAATGTCTGTGCAATTGTGTATATGCAAAGTTGAGCCAGTGTATACTGACAATTTTATCCCCATTAACTTGCGAGGAATAATTTACTATTCTTGTGCCAGTAATCCTGTGGTTTGGCAATCGATACTTGGCCTAGTTTTACTCTCACAAAATGAATTTGCAACAGCATCCCTCCACATGTTTTATATTATAGAATATGGATGGTTTTACTAATGTGACACACTCCGCTCCTCCACACACACATATTACCTTCTTACTTTTTCAGCACTTTGTTTTTAGTAAAGTTGTATTCCTTTTTAGTTCGTCTACAAGCGTACAAGAGGATAAGAAGCTTAGAGGATAAGAAAAATTAGCTTAAGGAAGTTCACAGCAAGAAAGTTTCCTTCTCCACTTCCACCACTTCTGCTCACCAGAAGTGTGTCTTTGGAGAGTGAGGGATGGGCCATGGATGGGGAAATCTGAAATGATGGAGGGAAAATCAGAATTAAAACCTACGTCCGCATAGAGGAATGTTTACATCACTGCCTCCTGTCTTTGAGTGGATGTTTCAGACATCTTCAAGAAGGTTTCGTACTGCCAGCTCCGGAGACTCATGGCTTTGATGGATGCTCTCTTTCATCTGTTAAGGTGTTCACCAATCTATTCTTTTCTGCCCTTGACTTTCTAATTCTGCTATTCTTTCGACTCCTTTTCCTTCTGCGAATTCATTACGTCTAGGGGGACAGAATTAAGGCATGGAAGAGGCAAGAATGGTCATTATTTTTAACGTCTTTGTTAAAAGATCTTAACCAAGACCAGTTCACACACACACACATACACACACACACCAACATTTACAAACACAGCCTCTTTTCTCTGTTTTCCTCCAGTGAGAACCAAGCTCAAAGCAAAACATTGGTGGGCAATGGAGCCTTTTTATATCAGAGCTGACAATACAACACATACTCTTGTTTGTTTGCAAAGGAGTTACGATATGGCTTTTGACTTTTTAACCTCCAGTTCTCCCATGTGAAAGATTCTGAAATCCAGCATGAAGGAAACCAACAACCACATGAATACTGGGAAATTTTCAGTTATGTCTCTCCTGTTCTTCATATGCAGCAGTGTTTATTTTTGTACCTTCCTGTGGCTAAGCAAGAACAACTGACCAGTGCACAAACAAGCAGCCCAGAATTCTTCTTCCTGAGCTGCCTTGGAAAGCGGATGACCTCTCCTCTCATTTTTAACTCTTCACCAACTCAGCACATTAAGGGTCTATTTGTGCATTGATCTTCATAGCCCCAACCCAACTCCAATTGCTTTTGTTGAGCACATGGTAAAAAGCATCCTTTGAATCCCTGGATGAAATAAGAAAAAAAAGTACTTTTGATACCTCCTCCTCCTTCTTCATCTAAGTCCATAGCTGTCAAGTGTCCCTTATTTGAAGGGACAGTCCCTTATTCCAGCGCCATGTCCTGCTGCTGTCCCTTATTGATGGATGTCCCTTAAATGTCCCTTAAATGATGTCCATTAAATTTCAAAGGAAGCAGCTCCTCTCCCTCCCTCCCTGCTGGCCAGAGAGGAAGGAGGCTCCAGCTGTGTTGCTTGGCCGTGTTGATCACCCAATAAGAAGTCTAAGAACGACTTGGGGGTGGAGCTTGCATGCCTTGTGTGTGGCTAGTTAATGCAAGCTGAGGGGGTTTTTGAATGCTGAACACCATTTTGTTGCACGTGCTGCTGCAAAGCCAGGCCAGGGAGCCATCTTAAGTTGAGGCTGCATAGGCCTTGTGGTGCATGTGATTCAGATTCTATTCAGTTGAACCTCTGGTTACAAAGTTGGTTGGACAGTGTTCTCGAAGCTACCAGCATGAGTTTGACCAGACTGCAGGACAGGAAGACTGGAGTGCCTGGAACAGGTGAGGCTGCAGGTCCCTTATTTTGGCTGCTGGCCCCTTATTTTCAAGGCTGCTGTTCCCTTATTTTCAAATCTGTAAGTTGACAGCTATGTCTAAGTCTCACATCCATTCTTGGGTATACGCTTCCTCAGGTTCTCTCCACTGTTCTCTGTTGTTTGAAGAATTGTCCAAACAATTAGTCCTATAGGAAAAAGCAAGGGATAGTTTGCAGATGACCAAAAATAGCTTTAGCATATGTAATGATACAAGAATCCAATATCTCTATTCAGACCCGGTCTCTCCATAGTTTTCAGTTTAGTAATAAGTTGTAATTTAGCAACTTCTCTTTCAAGTCTATTTCTGAAATTTGTTTGTAATAAGACAGCTGCTTTGAGATCCTGTATTGAATGTCCTGGGAGATTGGAGTGGCTTCTCTGTCTTGTGTTTCCTAATGTCAGATTTATGTCCATTTATCCTTTGGCATAGGGTTTGGCCTGTTTGTCCAATATAGAGAGCTGAAGGGCACTGCTAGCATTTGATGGCATATACAATGTTAGAAGATGAGCAATTAAATAGGCCTGAGATGGTATGTTTGATGTTGTTGGGTCCAGTGGTGGTGTTGTCTGGGTGTATGTGGCAGCAAAGCTGGCATCTGGGTTTATTGCAGGCTCTGGCACCAGTGTCTATGTTACTGTATTATTGTGGGTGAGGAGTTGTTTAAGATTGGGTGGCTGTCTGTAGGCAATGAAAGATCTTCCTCCCAGAGCTTGAGAAAGACATTGACAGGTTTACCATACCCATTGAGTCAATCACCCATCTCCTACTACCCTTCTGAGAAAAACCCCACCCCACCCTCCCACTATATATAAGGGTTTGGTGACTTCTGTTTCAGTGTATCAGAAGAAGTGTGCATGCACATGGAAGCTGATACCCAGAACAAACTTAGTTGGTCTCTAAGGTGCTATCGGACAATTTTTTAATTTTTTTAATTTATTTTGACTGTGTCAGACCAACACAGCTACCTACGTGGCTCTGATGTTGGGTTGCTGCATCCATTTAATTCCTGCTGTTAGTTTTAGATTGTCCACCCATCACATAGGCGGTCATCCTTTGTATCTTTTAAAATTGTAGGGTCTCCACACTAGCACTGCTTTATTTCATTGACACAAGTCATCTCTTGCCATATGCTCTGCATATGTCCATTTTAGCTTTGCAGCCTTTCCCACAACCGTCATAACTATTGACCTCTGCTGTTCCCAATCATTATAAAATCATAGAACGGAAGGGACCACGAGGGTCATTGAGTTTAAGCCCGGCAATGCAAGCATACTTTGCCCATTGTGAGGCTCAAACCCACAACCCAGAGATTAAAATTCTTACACTTTCAAGATCTCTGTCAAAGAATGACAACCAAATCAGCCAGAGCCCCCAATTGCACTATACTTTTTTTTTTCAAATAATAATAATCCACACACAATTTGTAAAAATAGTGGAATAAGAAAAACTACTCCCACATTCAGACAATAAAAAATCTTGTCCTATGGGGGGAAATCTGTATCTCTTTCAGGGAACAATTTTGATGCACCTGATTTCTTTCCTTCTTTTGTATTTCCTACCAAGTTTAGGTTAATTAAAGACCAAAATCATCTTTTTTAAAAAGAAGAAGAAGACATCATGTGGATGCAAAGGAAGAGCTTGCTTCTGAAACTAAAAAATAAGGGAAACAGACTTGTCAGCCTGGCTAATGGCTCTGAATATTGATCAAACAGATTCTTTATTAGATTTTTGAGACAGATGATTGCAGTTTAATACCTAGCTAATGATCATTCTTATGCCAGTCTCAGAAATGATAATTACTTTATGATTAGCACCATGATTGAAATCGGTGTAATTTTTACCCCCTCAAGATGTTTCTGATGACTTCTCTCTCCAGACAACATGTTGTCATGAATGGCTGATAATTATTATGGAAGCGCAAAAAAAGACCGAGTAATTTCTCCATAAACCTTTTACTTTACTCCCCCTCCCCTCTCTAACCTTCTTTATTCTTCTTACTCTTTCTGCATCCACATAGAGTACTGTTCACACCATCACTGCCTCCTGTCTTTGAGTGGATGATTCAGACATATTCAAGAAGGTTTCGTATTGCCAGCTCCCAAGACTCATGGCTTTGATGGATGTTCTCTTTCATCTCTTAATGTCTTCACCAGTCTGTTCTTTTCTGCCCTTGACTTTCTAATTCTGCTATTCTTTAGTCTCCTTTTCCTTATCAAATTCACTCAGTGGCCATCATTCACTGCATTATAGTTTGACGGTGGCTCTGCATCCTTCCTTTTCCATACCTGGTTGACATGCAGAAGAGCAGGTGCCAGGTGTAATTGATGGCAGGTGGCAGTGCTAAGTTCAAGCAATTTTACTACCTTTTTGTGGCATTTGAAGGCAGATAACACTGCTTTTGCACAGGTTAGATGCAGTATCGTTATCTTAGGGGCACTGGATTACAGGTTTAAGGTCAACTTGTTTTTAGGTATTTGTTGTTTGTAGTCAATACTATTTTTTCTAGTTAAAGAGGTGCCAGACCTCACCATGAATGCCTCACTTGTTCTCTGGTAATGGCAGTGGCACCCACCCTTTTTCTGGCTGAAAAAAGCCCTGTTTGTAGTCTTAGTTTTCTGCTCTGGGTTCTTCAACGGGTCAATTTCCCTTACATTTCTCTTGGTTTGTCACAGGAAGGAGCTCACAAATTAAGAGTGAACCCTGTTTTATGTGTTTAAATTCCAAAAAAATCATTTTATTTGGTTTTATATGCTGTTACGTGTTTTTACACTACTGATTTTATGTTAGATTTTTGTTGTAATGATATTGTTTATCATTTTAGAGGGTTTTTAAAAATATGTGGTTTATCAATGTTGTAAATAAATAACTAGGGTGGCACTGTGGGTTAAACCACAGAGCCTAGGACTTGCTGATCAGACGGTTGGCGGTTCGAATCCTTGCGACGGGGTGAGCGCCCATTGCTCGGTCCCTGCTCCTGCCAACATAGCAGTTTGAAAGCACGTCAAAGTGCAAGTAGATAAATAGGTTCCGGTGGGAAGGTAAACGGCGTTTCCATGCGCTGCTCTGGTTCACCAGAAGCAGCTTAGTCATGCTGGCCACATGACCTGGAAGCTGTACGCCGGCTCCCTCGGCCAATAAAACGAGATGAGCTCCACAACCTCAGAGTCGGCCACAACTGGACCTAATGGTCAGGGGTCCTTTTACCTTTAAATAAATGACTACCCCACTTTTCTTCTGTCATAGAACCCCTTATGTTTCCCAGGTGCTCACCTATACAGGTACTGACCAGACCCAGACCTGCTAAGCCTCAAGAATGGAGTGGCTTCATGTGCTTTCAGACCATACGCTGGGTCCACTATGACTACAAGATTCCTTTCCTGGTCTGTCACCACCAGCTCAAATGCCACCAGTGTATATGTGAAGTTAGGATTTTTTGCTTCCATGTGCATGATTTTGCACTTACTATACTGAACTACATCTTTTACTTTAATGCACATTCACCAAACAGGACTATTGCTATTGCCCCATTCCTGGTTTAGGGAAATGCTACAATGGGGCAGAAGGTTAGGAAATGGCTTGTGTATGTATATATAAGTTATGGCTTCTGCCTAAGTCTCTGTTTTTTCAAAAAGCGCAAGGGTGAGTTTGCTCAAGTGAGAATGGAAGATTTGTTTTCATTTTCTGTTAAGTCAGTGTGCTTCTAGGAAGCATTAAGAGACAAGTTAATGTTTACAGCAGCGGGGTTCCAGAAGAGAAAATGAGAGCACGCAACAGAACCAGGAAAAAAAATCAACTGCAACCACCCTCAAGAAAATAAACACTATATTAAAAAAAAAAAACTTCTACTAAATATAGTCAGAGATGAGTTAAGCACTAATTGATTGTGCTATCATTAGGCTCAGTGTGTATTTTCATGCTGTTTCCATTCCACAGAAATAATGTCCTTAATAATTATCATCATTTTAAGACTTGCGGGTCTCTCAATGCATTGGGGAGGGGCAGACACAAACGCTACGATTATACCGCATAATATTATTTCCACACAGCTTAGAGAAGAGAAATCAATTCAGGTAAAATTTGTCAGTGACATGAAATCCTTTACTCGCATTTCCCCAAAGTGATATTAACCAATGGCATAGAATGTCTGGATTATGAGCAGTGATACCAGGTGGGTCCAAAAAGAAACCTAAGGCGTGTCCATGGGATTTTGGGCTCCTGCCCTTTGAACTTGACATCTCGCAACCTGCTTTTGAAAGCCCCCTTACTTTCAAAGGTAGGCTTCCAGCTGGCAGGTGCAGCTGGTGAGGGATGCTGTTTGAGAAAAGGAATCTCAAAACATTCTGGGGTATGTAGAACATTCTGCATGGCTATGTAGATCCTGCCCGAACACCTAATAGAATGTTTGTCTAGTATTGCCATGTGCTTCCTAACTCTACTCCTGGTAATGTTATTTGAATATTGAAATACTTTATTGTCACTTGTACAACTTGTATACAGTGAGATTACACGAGCACCCCCCACTCAGCTCTCTTAGTCTTAATTCCCCTCGTTTACTGACGCACACCCACCAAACCCGAAAGTCAGTTGCCCTGTTGTTATCTTTTCATTCAGCAGTCTAACAGCCCACGGATAGAAGCTGTTCTTTACCCTGTTGGTGTGACTAATCATGCTTCTATATCTTCTGCCAGAGGGCAGGAGATCAAGAAAGTGCTGGCCAGGGTGTGAATAATCCCTGGGAATTTTCCTCACTCTCCTGAGGCAACATTCTTCCGCGCTGTCTTCCTCCGAAAGTCCAACACCATCTCCTTTGTCTTGCTGATATTAATGTGCAAGTTCTTCCCTAGGCACCATGTAGATATTTTTTGGACCTCCCCTCTATACGATGATTCGTCTCCACCTGTTATTAAACCCATTATGGTGGTGTCATCTGCAAACTTAATAATTGCAGTAGACGGGTCAGATGATACAGAATCGTATGTATACAGTGAATACAGGTAGGGACTTAACCAAATCATTGAGAGAAGCCTTGACCATACCAAAGTCAAAGCTTGGCCGCTGGTCATGATGACTATGCCTCCTCAGTGTTGGAGGCAATACGCCTTTGTATACCAGTTGTGGGGTATCACAGGTGGGAAAAGTGCTTTTGCATTCAGGTCCAGCTTCTAAGCATCCCTTAGGCATCTGGTTGGCCACTGTTAGAACAAGAAAATGGGAAAGGGAATCAGTTACCCACTAGGGGAGAATGGTTATGTAAGTTTTCAGAATATTTAGAATTAGCCAAATTGACAGATATAATAAGACAAAAAACAAAAAGTGAAGTGAAAAAGGAATGGGGGTGTCTAAATGAATACCTTAAAAGCCAAGGTTCGAGGACAGAGATCTGGCTGAGTCTGTAATAACCTTGTGAACTGAAAGGATAAGAAAGAGGGATTTATATCTAGATGCTAGGATAGGGATGATAAGGAAAACAGGGAAACAGGAAGACACAATGAGAGGTAAAGGAGGTGTTGTGGGATTGGTGGAAGTCAATGTTTGTTTTTCTTTTTAGTGTTTATATTACTAACTTGTAAGATATGGATTTGTGGGGGGGGGTTTGTATGTTGGTTTTTGTGTATTGTTATTTTTGATATTTTGTTGTTGTTGTTGTTGTGTGGAAAATACTAATAAAATTTGTTAATAAAAAAAAATAGAACATGAAAATGGACTAGATGAGCCTTCAACCTATTCTAGCAGGGCTCTCCCTATGATCTTATGAAGGGCTTTTTTTCAGCCAGACTCATCAGAACCCAGTTCTTGCACCTGTCCATTTCCATTTTAAGAGAAGGGTGGGTTATGGTGAGTTCTGGCACCTCTTTTTCTAGAAAAAGATCACTAATCTTATGGTAGAGAGAGAGTTTTGTATTTGATATCCCGCCTTTCACTCCCCTTCAGGAGTCTCAAAGCGGCTAACATTCTCCTTTCCCTTCCTCCCCCACAACTAGCACTCTGTGAGGTGAGTGAGGCTGAGAGACTTCAGAGAAGTGTGACTAGCCAAGTTCACCCAGCAGCTGCAGGTGGAGTAGCGGGGAAGTGAACTCGGTTCACCAGATTATGAGTCCACCGCTCTTAACCACTACACCATACTGGCTCCCTATCATATCCATACCTCCAGGGACTTCCTTATCTTATTATCTCCCCAGAAAAGATTTCTGAGTAGGAACAGAAGCGTTAAAGACCAAATGTGAAGTAAGGTACAAGCCTTTTTCATACCACAACTATCAAACTACTATTAAATACACTGGCTAACCAATTGGTGTACTAACCACATGAGAACGTATGTGCAGCACTTCCTTACATTGAAGTAGACACCAGCGTAGAGATTGTCTCTGAGCAGGGAAATTATAACCCTGGAAGCAGTATGTAGCTTTTTGTGATATGTAACATGGTCCCAACCTTTCTAACAGGGATCCTACTACCCTGCTTTAGGGTTCATTGGAATCTTCCCAATAGCTGAACCTAGCGGTGGTGGATTAAACAAGCTCAAAAATATTTTAGCATTTTTCTGGGAGGAAGGCTAGCCATCCTTCAAGATTCACATTTTTCTCAATTTTGACGGCCAAATATTGTGAGCAAAAAAATGGAATATACTAGTGTGCACAAAATGAATATATTAGCGAAAATAACATGCAAAAATATGTTATATTAGGGGAAACTGTTTTGCAAAAATGTGAGTATTTGGCAAAAATGCATAGGGAAATGTGCATATTGATGAATTTTCATGGGGACAATCACAAACTCCTGTAGAAATGTGCAGAACTGAATTTAAGATTGTGGCGGCGGTGGGGGGGTAGATGAGAACCTGAGTGAAGTCAGTATTGACAGATTTGCCCATTCTTACCCATTTCATAGCAAGACAGAAGTGGCTGGCATTTAAACAAAAAACACAATTCCACTATGCTTTGTACATTGTGCCTTTTTCTGTAGAGCACGTCACATTCCTCAGCTGAATCATTAGGAGTCGGAAGGATGTGCAGTGCGTTCCACAGCATCCTGGCAGAATTGATTTCATCGTCCCATGGGAGTCCTTCATAGAGTAGCCTAGCCTTGAATATTTCCAGCAGAGGTGATAACACATCCTCTCTTGCCAGCTTGTTCCATTTTCTCCAAAATTAACTTATATTTTTCTCTGCTGCATCTTAAAGCCAATTACTTTTTGTTCTGTCCGCAGCAACATGTGAGAATCAATCTCTGACAGCTTTTCATCCTGTCGGGGTGCCTGAAAGAGATCCTGGCGTGGAAACCACCACTGAATTTTGAGTGAGACTGCACTCCAGAGCAGGATGTAAATCTTATATTTCTCTCTCTCTCTCTCTGTGTGTGTCTCACGCACATCCCTAATTTGTATTCTTGCCTTGTTATAGCAACACGGAAAACTAAAGATTTGCAGGCAATGTTTTGGCTGGTATATTCCCCACTCATTCATTTCAGTCTCATGTCTCCTCACTTTCTCATCTATATGTGCCATAACTGCCATGTCCCCCCTCCCCAGGGGTGCTTAAAACTACGGCAAGCTGTCTCCCTAGCTAGTTTGCGGGTCACCCCTGGTGTAGGTCAAATAAATACTCCCCCATCTCCCACATTCTCTTAGACAGAGGAGGGTGGCTGGGGCAGCTAAGAAGGGCCCTCACACAAATGCCTGTGCATGAATAATAATAATAATAATAATAATTATTATTATTATTATTTATACCCTGCCCATCTGGCTGGGTTTCCCCAGCCACTCTAGGCGGCTTCCAGCAAAATATTAAAATACAATAATTCATCAAATATTGAAAGCTTCCCTAAACAGGGCTGCCTTCAGATGTCTTCTAAAAGTTAGATAGTTGTTTATTTCTTTGACATCTGGTGGGAGGGCATTCCACAGGGCAGGTGCCACTACCGAGAAGGCTCTCTGCCTGGTTCCCTGTAACTTCACTTTTCGTGGTGAGAGAATGACCAGAAGGCCCTTGGTGTGGGACCTCAGTATCCGGGCAGAATGGTAGAGGCGTGGCTGGGAAGCTTAAAGCCTGTTGCTGCTACACGGGAGACAGATGGAAGATTGAGCAAGCTTGCTTTTGCCTGCTCCGGAGGGCAGAACCCGTAGCAATGGATTCAAGTTACAAGAAAGGAGATTCTGATGAAACACCAGTAAGAACATTCTGACAGTAATAGCTGTTTGACAGCTCCCTTGGGGTTTTTTTTAAGTAGAGGTTGGATGTGTTGACACTTCCATTCCACCTTAAGGAGCAGACGTGTGGAACTGTTGATTGTCACATGTCTGTTTACATTCCAGCACAACTTGCTGGGAACTTCCGTTGTGTATAGCTTCTGCTTTTCCTGTTCTCTCTGAGAAGACAAGAGAGAGAGAACATGTTTTTTTGTCCTGATTTATGATTACTAAATCTGTAGTTGTAGTATGCTTCCACAAGCCTCATGCCTATTCTGTGTGCACAGTTCGCTCTGCTGATAGTGTGCCCTGGCTTTGAAGCCCGGGTCACTGATATACATTGGGCAGTGGGACGACTGGAAGGGAATAGCTCATCTGGGGCTAGCCAGCTGGCCTGCCGGTCCTCCGCATGCTGACAGGATGGCCATCTGTCGTGGATGCTTTAGTTGAGATTCCTGCATTGAAGAGGATTGGAACAGATGACCCACAGGGTCCTTTCTAACTGAACAATTCTCTGACTCTATGATACTAAGAGTAATAAGGCCAGATAGAAAGGCCTGGAGGGCTGCATTTTGCTCCTCAGTCTGATGTTTCCCACCCCTGCCTTACTTGGATGGAAGTCTCCTTGAGTCCACTGGGCTTTCTGCCATGTAACTGTGCATAGCATCACAACTTTTGCTCACATTTCAACAATTCCTAGAAGGAATTCAAAGTCCCTCACTACCTACTGTCTGATGCTTAGAAGTCCCAGGTATCTTTGCAAAGAAACCAAGTAGAAGATGCTGAAGATGATGGTGATGCTTCTGACAGTGAAGCACGTGAACGCAAGCAGGTACTCGCTTGGCGTTAATAAGGATCAGGCAGACACAGCAATGGAGAATAAGAAGGTGAAGTTTATTGCCAGGACCCAGTTTGGAATCTCTTCCAAAAGGAACTGGGACCCCGATTGACAGAAATCCAGAGGTCTTTATACCTGAGCAGATCACAGCAAATCATAGATCATGAGACAACCATGAGGCAGTCACGATATTGCCAGCGAAAATTAGCCAATTAGCAAGCTTCTTGCCATGCTTCCAGCTCCTGGTCAAGCACTGGTCAAGCATGGAGTTCTAGTTCTGCTTTCCGCTGCTTGCAGTGATGCTCTGTCTAACCTCTCCCCTAGTTATGACAGGACAGGGAATATTGGAGATTTTGTGGTTTGCTCTTCCTGTTCTGTGGATTAATTTAGCCTGTATCTGAGGGGATTTTGTACCAGTATCTCTGATTCACGTCTTCCCCTTGTCCAGGGTACACGGATGTTTGTAGGGGAAAGGTCGGCTCCTAATTTTGCTGTTCCAAGCAGTTTGCAGTTAGCTAAGGCACAGCTTCCCTTTGATTCAAAATGGATTATAAAATACTGTAAGCCCTGATTATGTGTGAGCATATACGGATATATTGATTACTGATAACTGATTATATGAATTGCATAAGGGTAGCCCTTCTTCCTTGCCTCAACAGAAGTCATCTTGAGAATGGCTTTTGCTGGTGGTGATGGTGGTGGAACCACAGCAAAATGCTTCTTTGAAAAGTCAGTCAGCTGCAACGGCTAAAGACCTGATACTGATGACTGAGAGGCATGACATGTTCTTCTTTTCCCTCTCTCAGAGATAGTCATATCTTCAGTTTCAGGAGTAAACATTTGTTGGATTTAAGCTGCATTGGGCTTTAACTGAAGAGCAAACAGATCGACAGCTCCTCATAATCTCATCACCTTCATCAAAACGCGTAATATTTCCATGCAAGAGGAGCACTGGTCACAACCAAATCCATAGGAGTGCCTGTAATAGTTACTGCTGCCTCAGCCATTTTGTGAATCGTAATTACTTCTGTAAAAACGCAAGTACTGAAATACAAACTTGTCTGCGAGCCACATTCCCAGGCTCAAAAGCCCAGCCCTCTATTCCTATGGTGTTTGAAAATGGTTTTTGTTATTCAATGGTGAGGGGAATGACCTTTGTTCCTTAACGCGTTCCCAAAGCTGGGTCTTGGCAGCGAAAATATATCTGAAAGATGAGCTCTGAGTCTTCTTGCACAGGCCTGTCTCTGAGAGAAAAGTAGGAAAGGATAATATGGCCTAGCAGGCAAAAAGGAGAGATGGTATAGTCCCCAATTGAGCTGCATAATTCTTTCCAGAAGGGAAGCCTTTTGCGATAATCACACCAAAAGGCAGTGCTAGCCACATGCAAATGTGACTTGTTTTAGAAGGGCTTCTTTAATAAGATATTACAGTGCACCATTTTCAGAGTGCCTGTTTCCCATTGTGATCAATTAATTTAACAAGACAGAACATTTAATTACTATATTTCTGCGGCTGTGTTCTTCGGCAGTAATTGGTAGCTCATTATCCTTAGCCCCACCAATGTACTGCCATTTTCACTCCCCCCTTCCTTCCTTTTTTTCCTCATGGGCCATTAAGCCGTGTAACAGGTACGTTGACACAAGGCAATTGCAAGGATATCCATGCCTTATTAAACTGGCAGAGGCACATCAACATTCAAAGAGACTTCGGGGAGAGAAGGCTGCTTGCTACATATGAGCCTGGAGAAACAATGCAAAATTGTGAAAGATCCTTGAACAGGCCTATAGACTCCCAAACAGCATGCAAGAACAGAAACACCAGTAGTCAGTAGATGCTGGTCAGTTTGGCCAAATGGGCCACTGCTGGACCAACCGCAGTCTGCTCTCAGCCAGCTCTGCCTGCCTGCCTCCTTACATACAGCCAGCCTATGGGATGGTGCTGTCTGTCAGCTTCTTCCTCCTTAATCTCATTGTTGTGCTTGTAGAATTCAACAGGGATGACGTTGGAGACAAAACTTGGATTAGCTGGCTCCATTTACTGTTCATCTCCCTGCCTTCAGCTTCACCGGTCCCAATGGGCACCAGCGACAACTGCTTGGTGTTAGATCAAGGTGTTAGATCCCAGAGCAGTGTTCCCCAACCTAGTGCCCTCCAGATGTTTTCAACTACATCTCCCAGCATTTCTACCAATGACCCTGCTGGCTGGAGCTCGTGGGAGGACAACAGCATCTGGAAAGCACCATGTTGGGGTGAAAGGCGCTAGAATGTGAATTCAGTTATGCATTCAAGTACATAACTGAATGTACCAGCTCCATCTGGTACATAGGCTGAGACCCTATCTGCCCGCGGACTGCCTCGCCAGAGTGGTGCATGCTCTGGTTATCTCCCGCTTGGACTACTGCAATGCGCTCTACGTGGGGCTACCTTTGAAGGTGACCCGGAAACTACAACTAATCCAGAATGCAGCAGCCAGACTGGTGACTGGGAGCGGCCGCCGAGACCATATAACACCGGTCTTGAAAGACCTACATTGGCTCCCAGTACGTTTCTGAGCACAATTCAAAGTGTTGGTGCTGACCTTTAAAGCCCTAAATGGCCTCGGTCCAGTATACCTGAAGGAGCGTCTCCACCCCCATCGTTCTACCCAGACACTGAGGTCCAGCACCAAGGGCCTTCTGGCGGTTCCCTCACTGCGAGAAGCCAAGTTACAGGGAACCAGGCAGAGGGCCTTCTCGGTAGTGGCACCCTCCCTGTGAAACGCCCTCCCACCAGATGTCAAAGAGAACAACAACTACCAGACTTTTAGAAGACATCTGAAGGCAGCCCTGTTTAGGGAAGCTTTTAATGTTTGATGTATCACAGTATTTTAATATTCTTTTGGAAGCCGCCCAGAGTGGCTGGGGAAACCCAGCCAGATGGGCGGGGTATATATAATAAATTATTATTATTATTATTATTATTATTATTATTATACATGTGGGTTTTCCTCAGTGCTTGCAAGGCATCATATTTAGGAGGAACCAGGATTGACTCCAAGGGCTTGAGGGGAAAACTCTTTTATCTTAAACAGCTATCTGACTTTTAGAAGACATCTGAAGGCAGCCTTGTTTAGGGAAGTTTTTATTGTTTGATGTTTTATTCTGTTTTTAATCTGTTGGGAGCTGCCCAGAGTGGCTGGGGAAACCTGGCCGGATGGACAGGGTATAAATAAATTACTACTACTACTACTACTACTACTACTATCATCATCAAAACACAGACCAAAATTGATTTTTCCAGTCAATTTTGCTATTTCTGCGTATTCTATGGGTTTCTGCTGCCATTCTTCAGCTGTGGGTATTTCAGGGCGACGAAGCATTCCAAAGAGATTGGATGAAATTTACAACATACATAGAAAAGAACTATACGCAAATAAAGACACTCGCGGGACTGAAATAGACCTCATAATGTTTATTAAAAATGATTCATTTTGGATTTAAGAATATTGAACAAACATATTACAACAATTGAAGGCTGTACATTAATGAAATTTTGAATAGTATTATTCCATAGTATTAAGTACGCATAGAATGTAAACATGACAAATGCATACATATAAAGAAAATATAGAGAAAGCAGAAGAAGGTGGGAGGGAAGTACAAATTCATTTAGAGTTAAAGTATTAAGGTTAAAAGAAGTAAGGTATGTATTATGTATTATGATGGCGAAATTTGGAAAATCTGCAAAACCAATAAAATCATTTAAAAAAAAAAAAGATTTCTACCATGTTAGTCAACCAAGAAGGAAATTGTCAATATTTGTTTTAGACACAGATAATATTTCTTCTACCTCATTTTGTGAGGAGTAAAACATAGAACACAAAGGTGGACTTGAAACTCACACCCCATTGTTGTGGGAACCTTGACCCTCCACAAAAATGGGAGCAGGGTGAGTTCCTGACAATTTTGAGCTGGGAGTGGGTGGGAGAATTGTTTATATATCAATTTATGTATAAAAGTATTTGCATGCTGCCACTTCATCCAACATACCATTGTGATGTACAGTAATATAAAAATGTAAAACACCATAAACACAGGTAAGCAAAATCAGTAGAATGAATTATTCTGATTTTGGGGTGGGAGCGAGGGTTGCTATACTTATCTCAGTAAAGTTTATGAGCTGGGCAAGGCTTTTCCACCTTCTTCTTCCTCTTAAAAAGAATGGTGTCTTTCCTTTGGTTCCTGATGCTTCTACTTTCCCTCCCCCTTTCTTTGCACTTCAAAAAGATGCCAGCATCTCTCCATTGCTTCCCAGGCCCCACTAGCTGCTGCATTCACCATTTCTCTGCAGAAAAGGACTGTTGCTACAGTCCTAGGAGAGCGCCAAGCACAGGATGTTAAATGGGTCCTTGGATGTCTTACCTGGCTGGTGGCTAGCGATGGACACATCTGTCCATTATGGTTCCCCTTGGTTCCTCATATTTCCACTTTTAGATTCAGTTCTCCACATTTCCACATCCATTTGCAATTTTAAATGCCTCACAAAAAATCATCCGCATTTTAGTGCACATTACTCCCATTGTACACATTTCAATGCAGTTCTGCCTTCTAGACATATTTCTGCAAAACCATTTCTCCATATTTGTTGTTTAGTCATGTCCAACTCTTTGTGACTCCATGGACCAGAGCACGCCAGGCACTCCTGTCTTCCACTGCCTCCCGCAGTTTGGTCAAACTCATGTTGGTAGTTTTGAGAACACTGTCCAACCATCTCATCCTCTGTCGTCCCCTTCTCCTTGTGCTCTCAATCTTTCCCAACATCAGGGTCTTTTCCAGGGAGTCTTCTCTTCTCATGAGGTGGCCAAAGTATTGGCACCTAAGCTTCAGGATCTGTCCTTCCAGTGAGCACTCCTGGCTGATTTCCTTCAGAATGGATAAGTTTGATCTTCTTGCAGTCCACGGGACTCTCAAGAGTCTCCTCCAGCATCATAATTCAAAAGCATCAATTCTTCGGTGATCAGCCTTCTTTATGGTCCAGCTCTCACTTCCATGCATTGCTACTAGGGAAACCATATCTTTAACTATACAGACCTTTGTCGGCAAGGTGATATCTCTACTTTTTAAGATGCTGTCTACATTTGTCATCACTTTTCTCCCAAGAAGCAGGAGTCTTTTAATTTTGTGACTTCTGTCACCATCTGCCGTGATCAAGGAAGCCCAAGAAAGTAAAATCTAAAATTTCTCCATATAAAATTTCTCCATATATAATAAATCTCTTCTGCACACTTTGCCCTAGTCCAGGGTTTCCCAAACTTGGTTCTCCAGATGTTTTGGATTACAATTCCCATGATCCCTCAGCATGGGTCCTGCTAGCTAGGGATGATGGGCGTTGTAGTCCAACAAGAGACAGAGACACAAATTTGGGAAACCCTGCGCTTAGTATATGCATTTTGCGCACTGGGAACTGTAAATGTGCAAGGATGGCTGTGTTTCAGGTCACATATTGCTTCAGAAAGTGCAAAATAGGCCGGTTCACCTTTAAATGTGAACTGAATCCATTCCACCACTGCCCCGTCCCTACTGATGGCCTGCATTCAGCCTGGTTGCCTGCAAGTTATGTCAGCTTGTTCTTTACAACGAGCTTCCTACATTTTTCTTCATAATTGATAATGGGAGAACATATTCTCCCAAGTGTTAAGGAGGGTCTCATCTATCAGGCCTGCAGCAAAGTGATTTACGAACTTCAGCAATGTGACAAAGCAGACTCAGCCACTGATGATGGGAATCTCTGAGCACTTGACAATTAGATAGGGGTTGGCAGAGGGAAGATGAAAGATATCAAGAGTAGCGGAACCCACTTAGTGTGAAACACTGTGAAAGTCCCAAGGAGCTCTGATGCATTTCAATGAACTCTGCCTATTCTCTTCTAGAAAAGTTTCATTCCACTTGAAATCCCTGCGCAGGGCAGGAAATAACACCACACAGAGATACAAGTGTTAACCATTGCACATTTTGGAGACAGTTGCTACTCGCTCCCTTACGTCTGACTAGTTGAAACAAAAGCAGAGCGAAGCATTAATTTGTGATCCCATGTACAGTGGTACCTCAGGTTAAGAACTTAATTCATTCTGGAGGTTCATTCTTAACCTGAAACTGTTCTTAACCTGAGGTACCACTTTAGCTAATGGGGCCTCCCACTGCCACCGCACAATGTCTGTTCTCATCCTGAAGCAAAGTTCTTAACCCGAGGTACTATTTCTGGGTTAGCAGAGTCTGTAACCTGAAGCGTCTGTAACCTGAAGCATCTGTAACCCAAGCTACCACTGTACCAAAAAGTCCCCCATGTTTTCTGCATTGTGGCCATTTCTTCAAGCAAATGGATACAGACTACCCAGTGGCAAGTTAATATTTTAATGGGGCCCTTTACATAGCTTTTTGGGGGACTCTATTCAGCACTGGGAACTATCCCTGCTGTGGGCCACATTTCAAAGGTTACGTGTGGGTCCCTTGGCAGCAGGAGAGGGGGACTAATTCTGTGCATGCTGCTGAAGGCCTGAGGGCTCTGTTCCTGCCTCTCTCCACCTGGCCTAAGGCGGGGCCTGACTGCCACTGCTGCCCAGGAGGACTGGGGTATTTGGGGAAAAGTTTTCTTGGGATTTTTTGCTGCTGTTACTGATATTAATCTTTTGTATCTTTATTTTTATGTGGAAATTGTTCAGTTTGGGTATGTAGTTTTTGATGTGTTTTATTTATTTTTATGTCTACTTTGCTATGTTTGTAATTATGTAAATCTCTTCATATTGTAAGCCACCTTGAGCATTTAACTGTGGAAAGGCGACATACACATAAAATGATGAATGAATGAATAAGGTAAAAGGCAAAGGACCCCTGGACGGTTAAGTCCAGTCAAAAGCGACTATGGGGTTGCAGTACTCATATCGCTTTCAGGCCGAGGGAGCCAGCGTTTGTCCACAGACAGCTTTCCAGGTCACGTGGCCAGCAGGACTAAACTGCTTCTGGTGCACAGAGGACTGTGACAGAAACCAGTGTGCACGGAAACATTGTTTACCTTCCTGCCACAGCAGTACCTATTTATCTGCTTGCACTTGTGTGCTTTTGAACTGCTAGGTTGGCAGGAGCTGGGGCAGAGCAATGGCAGCTCACCCCGTTGCAGGGATTCGAACTGCCAACCTTCCGATTGGCAAGTCCAAGAGGCTCAGTGGTTTAGACCACAGCACCAGCAACGTCCCTGAATGAATGAATATGTGCAAATCCATCACTGACCTATGCATGTGGTTCAGTAGAGTAACATCTCACCTGTGCTATGGGGCAGGGGGATTAAGAGAATTATTCAAGGTCATATCCACACCATATATTCAAACTAAGGATGTGCATGGCATCCCTGATGTGATTTTGGGCCCAATCTGGTGCTTCAGAATGGTCGTGATGCAACCCAACTCAGATCTGCCCCCAAACTGATTTGGGGGCCTGGCACAATCATCATCATCATCATCATCATCGTTTTATTTGTATGCAGCCTTTCCATAGTTGAAACTATGCTCAAGGCAGCTCACAACATGACAAGATTTAGATAATTATAAACATAGCAGAAGTCATAAACAATAAATAAAACACATCAAAATGTACACAACCAAATGGAAACAATTTCCACATAAATCGTAAGATCTAAGACTAAAGATACAACAGCAATAATACCAATAACAGCAACAAGCTCTCTCAACCCCCCATAAACAATACTCCAGCCCAAGAATCTGTTCAACAGCCTCAGTTTCTGTAGCTGGAGTCAGTCCACACTCCACTCTCCCAGGCCAGATGGGAAAAGGCCAGCAAGGCAGGGTGCAGGTTTCCCAGGGCTCACAGCCAAGATGGTATAATTTAAAACAACACAGAGAAAAAACAATTTAAAAGAGGAGCCCTCACTGCTGAGCAGCAGCCACAGTACTTGTGGGGCCTGTCAAGCCCCGCCCCAAGCCAGGTGGAAAGAGGCAAGGGCAGGGCCCTTCGGACCCTCAGCAGGCAGTCCTCCTGGGCAGCAGCAGCAGTCCTTAAGATCATGCTTTCAGCGGTAGAGGTGGGCAGAGAAGGAGGCGTATCTCTCCTTCTCCCACCTTTCAACCACACATTTAATCTGGATTTTAAGCCCTAACAAGCATATGAGGGTATGAGAAACTGCAGAAAGGGCATTTTGATTCATTTGGTCAACTAACAGTTTGGTGTTGCTTCAGCTATAAGAACCAGTGAATACAGTGGGACTTGCTCTGAGTAGGGGGAAGTAGATTTGCAGCTTTATATCCATATGGATTTATTTATTTATTTAAAGAAGCCAAGTAAGGACTGCAGCTAAGAAGAGAGCCATTTAACAGTAAGCCAGTTCCTTTGGAAAAGCAGAGCTTACTTGCCAAGACGAGAGAAAGGCTTTAGTTGCAGGGACAGCAGCTTTCAAGACTCACCCTGGGAGCTCTCCAAGGTCCTGAAGGTACTCTGAATGGCTTGAATTCTTGACAGGATATTGCTGGGCTTCTCCTGTGAGCCTGGAGCTCATACAGGACAGGCACAGTTCCTGAGCAATGAATTATTGGTCTGTCTTACTCAGGGATAAGGTTTTCAACATGGGAATGAAAACCCTGATTGACCAGGGTTCCCTCGCATGTGCTGGATGTTGGAAAGCCTACAGGTGAGTAACGCAGCCCCCTTCAGTCTAATGCTGATCTCATAGTGACTGAAAAGAATGTCCAGACCATGAAGCATCATAAAGCAGGCATGTCCAACTTGTAGACGAGCACCTTCTATATCCTTGTCACAAATGTTCACAAAAGTTCATTAGCGTAAAGTCTAAAATAGCACAAAAGTAGATCACTGGACGTCTGTGGTAGATCACTGGTAGATCACTGGCTCCCCTCAAAGAAGCTCAACAACTTAGGCTCCCCCCCTAAAAGCTCAACAACTTTGACCTGAACCCCCCAAAAGGGAGTAGATAACTGCCAGTTTTTAACTCTGTGAGTAGATCGCAGTCTCTTGGGAGTTGGCCACCCCTGTCATAGAGGGGTCTGTGCTGACAACCAAATATTCCTGATTTCCCATTTGCAGATTTATATCAAATTCCTTATGAGGGTTACTGCCTTTGAACCCAACAGGTTTTGTTCAGCTGTTATTGCCAATATCCACTGATAGACCATCAGTTATTTTGTATAGCTACAACTACTAGTACTGAGCATGCTTTATTTAGGTTCAGTGGTGTGCTAAAAGAAGACGAGTTATTACTTGGTTCAAATTGTACTGCAGACAGCTTCACTCACTTTAAAACTAAAACAGTTTCTTTGCACAAGGGATTTCACTTGAGATGTGCACACACCTTTTTCCCTCTTGGCATGTTCTGCTTAGCAAATGAAGGTGAAAATTCAACTTGATGATCAAGATGCAACTGCTACGTGTGTAGCTCAGTTTTATTTCCTTTTATAGCTGTTCTAGCAATGGACGAGCAGCTTCTATATCCTTGTCACAAATGTTCACAAAAGTACATTAGTGTAAAGTCTAAAATAGCACGAAAGCATCATGTAACTTTTAAAAAAAACCTGAAAATGAAACCAAGGATAGAAGCATCTAAAGGTGTCCCTAATTAATGATCGCATTCCTGAGAGCACAGCACCAACACAGCAAATTTCAACTCAACAAAATGTCAAGCACAGCACAACACCAGGGGGAACTTTTAACAGTGCCTTTAATTAAAGAGGATCTATGAGACCACACAGAATATATTGGTTACTGGGTGGCTTAGGTGCTGAAAGGTAGTCTCCCAAAGTTTCCAAAGATGTTTTCCGTTGGGTTTCTCTTCTGGTTTGCATATTGAACTGTGGGTTCTGGGGTGGAGGTGGGGAGACAGGACTTAAATTAAGCAGCAAAGGGGATTAACAAGAGTGTTTAAGATTGCTATTTATGCTGCACCGATAAATTAGCCCAGGTATAGCCTGGATTGGAATTGTGGTTTTTTATCAGAGTAAGTAGAAATGTGAATAGGAAAAAAAACTGTGGAGGACCATTGTCTTATTTGTAACAGCATGGCAAGTTTGAGTGGCACTTAGATTGATACACAATACTTTTTGATTATTATTGTTTATTTATTTAAACAACAGCAACACCATAAACACATCTTTGACATGGTCAAAGTCTTGCAATAGCATTTCAGGAAATTCTGTCCAGTTCCAATTGATTGTTGTGTAGTGATAGATCACAGTGACAACTGTTTCTCATTTGGAATGCCCAGGGGAGTCATGTGGTGTTCACACTTTGTCTCAAAGATACCTATTGTTCCACACGTGACTTGATCAATGCCAAGTATTCTGCAGAACAACCCAAGCAAAGTGTGGGAGCATGGATATCTGCCTGGTGTTTTGGTGTGTTATATAGATTTCCTAAATATTCTTTAAATTATCTGAATTAAAGCTTTGCATGTAAAATGTTTGAGGCCCTCCAGAAAGATGTTTAGTTTCTTACATTAATGCTTGGATGTCCTAGGTAGGGCAAGGACAACGGGAAGAAGGCCAAGCTTAGGCTTTCTGTTGCTTTTCATGTAAAAGGTTTGTCCTGAATCCTTCCCAAGAGTTTTATAACAATCAGTCCAATCCTATCCAGATTTAGGAGAGGAGAGGATACTCCATGCCTGGCAGATGGACAGGGCACTATTATTATTATTATTATTATTATTATTATTATTATTATTTAGGACATGGGTAGGCAAACTAAGGCCCAGGGGCCAGATCTGGCCCAATCACCTTTTCAATCCGGCCCGCGGACTGTCTGGGAATCAGTGTGTTTTTACATGAGTAGAATGTGCCCTTTTATTTAAAATGCATCTCTGGGTTATTTGTGGGGCATAGGAATTCATTCATTCCCCCCCAAAAAATAAATGGTCTGGCCCCCCACAAGGTCCGAGGGACAGTGGACTGGCCCCCTGCTGAAAAAGTTTGCTGACCCCTGATTTAGGACAGCCCTATTTTCATGGGAGAAATGTTGGTGGGTATGAAAACAGCACTTTAAATTGGGCTTAGAAATGCTCTGGGAAGCCAGCATAGCTAGTGTTGAATGTGCTAACTGACTGAAGTTTCCCAAAATAAACATAAGAAGGTGCCTTGCATCGAATCAGACCATCAGACCAGTGTTGTCCACATTGGCAGAGGATGGTTTTTTCCAGCGTTTAAGGCCAGGAACATTCCTAGCCCTAGCATGATATGCCTGAGATTGAACCTGCACGCAAAGCAGATATTCCACTGCTCAGCTACAACCCCCATCTGTCTCTTCCATTTATAGGTTTGCAAGCATGGTTTTATATCGGTGCAAAGCCAAGGCTCATTCTGGAATTAAGAATGACATTTGGACGCGGCTGTCTTGGAGGAGAAATTTGTCGTTTGCTGGATCCTCTAGCTGAACGTGCTGTTTTAGAAGCAGAGGTGCTGTTCTGCTATCACACGTACATGTAATATTCTGTCATGGCAACAGTGTGCATTGGACAGAGCAAAAGTGTTCAAATTTACAAGCTTTCCATTCAGTTTTATAATCAGAATGCTTCAGAATCTGTAAGGAAAAGCACTGTCTATAATTCCAACTGCTCTGGGATCGCTAAGACACATTTTCATAGATTTTTCTAGATGCATCAAACAGAGGCACAAAACTTTGGAGGATATTGGAATAAAACAAAGAAAACTGCGGAGGAACGGAGCAGGATTCAGACTCAGGTTTTTTGTTTACTTTCCAAATAATTTGTCTCTATTATTGGCGAAACTGGCACTTTTAGAAATGTTTCTCCACCCTTGCAAAGAACCGCTCTTCAGTGTGGTAGCGCCTGCTTCCTGGAACTCTATGTCTATACACATTAAGCAGATTCCTTCAGTGTATTGTTTTCAGTGTCTGCTGAAAGAGATTTTGTTTAGGTAAGACTACCCAGGGATGCTATTTTATTATGCATATTTGCTTTTCAACTTCTTATTTTTCCTAGTTTTCATTAAACGTTATGTCTATTTGCTTTTAAAGTTTGATTCATTTTTTCTTATGACCATTTTATATTGTTTTGTGTAAACTACCTAGAGGTTTTTGTTAATTAAGCAATATATATATATATCTTGTGAAATAAATAAATATCACAGATGTCAATGCTTGGGGTGGGCAAATTTCTTAGTTTCAGTTTCTCTCAGTATCTTATTAATCCAACCTTAAATTCTATAGTCCACATTTCTACCTCAGCTTGTGATTTTTTTAAAAGAAAAACTCATGAAAATTTCAGTGTTTTGTGCAAACACACATCCTAACATGCATTTTTTGCCTAATATACACATTGCCCCCCAAGCAATTTCCCCTAATATAACACATTTTTGTATGGCGTTGTTTTTTTTTACTAATGCATACTTTACTATATGCATTTTTAAAACACTTCACATGTCTGGAGGACAGCATTGCAAAATTAATAAAAGTGCAGATTTCAAAGGATGGCTGTGTTTCACTTTCCATATTATTTTAGAAACTTTCAACTAAATATGCCAACAGAATCAATTTTCTCCCCCATGCCTAGACATCAAATGAAGCGTTGCTTTAGATCCTAGCATTTAGTGTTTGTTCATATGGCTATCCTACTGTAAGGATGATAATGACTGAATCCATATACAGTGGTACCTCGGGTCACATACGCTTCAGGTTACATACGCTTCAGGTTACAGACTCTGCTAACCCGGAAATAGTGCTTCGGGTTAAGAACTTTGCTTCAGGATGATAACAGAAATCGGGCTCTGGCGGCGCGGCAGCAGCAGGAGGCCCCATTAGCTAAAGTGGTCTTCAGGTTAAGAACAGTTTCAGGTTAAGTACGGACCTCCGGAACGAATTAAGTACTTAACCTGAGGTACCACTGTACCTACACAGAGCTATAAACTGTGCAATACATCTAGAGATACTTCCAGTCAAGAGATTCCTGTCCTGTCGTTCTCTAAACTGGGGCCAATTTCTGATTTCTGACCACCTCTATAGGTTGAGAACTTCAGGTCTTCTCATGTGGTCATTCTGTTACCTCCCTCAGAGAAGAACCAGTGTCCTTGCCCTGTCTTGAGATCTTTCCCCACAACTTTGGTAGCACAACGCTCTCAGGTCCTGCATCCTGTATCTGGCATCAGCTCACAATCCTGAATCCCTGATGATACTGCTGACCTTTTTCTTGAAGTCTAGGCTTTCCTCCTCTCAGTCCTTGATCCTGCTGCTCTCACAGGGCAGTGCCAATCCTGGCTAGGCTGTTGTGTTCCACAGCTGTCACTCGTTCCTCAGCTTCCTACTGCTGGCCTTATTAATCCATTCCCATGGTGTCAGAGTGTCAGTCACAGATGAGTCCAGAGACCTGCACCAGAACAGCTTGCCCAGTCACAGATATAGCCATCGTGATGTTGGAAAGAATCACATGCCTGCGAGCAATGGTTGCCAATTATGGTACCATCATTTAATCGTGCACAGAATAAGAAAATAGTTGTGCAAATGAATTATTATTATTATTAATGGTGGTTATGTAGAAAACTTTGAGCAAAGGTGAAAAAAACATACTGAAAATGTATGCGCGCTGCATCTCTAATAAGTTTATTGTTCAGACTTTTACTTATGTTATTCTCTAGAGAGGCGTATGATTGCCAGCAAATTGAAGGCTGTAGGCCTCCTTAATTGCTTTCTTGTCAGCATCCCGAGGAAGCATTTGAGTTCTTGAATTTTAAGCTGTCCGGTTTGTTCCTTTGTTTCCTGAGCGTAAGAAAGTTAAAAGTAGCTGAGGCATGCTGTTGCGGGTCTATCAAGCAAAGCTCCGAGTTGCTGTAAGCATATTCTTAACTTCTTTAACTATATATCAATCAAATTATAAAGATTCTCTTGCCTACAATGCAGCAAAGTTACACTGCTATTTATCTGGCAGCTCCAGACATTCCTTTCCTGTATAATCAGAACTTTCTAATAGGTCTCGTTTCTCTCTAGTTCCTACAATTGCTTCCCATGCAGAGAGTTATTAGTTCCTCAAGGTTCCTTCGTATAATATGGAAAAGAACGTGTTTTTGCAGTTTGAGGACCAAGTATGGATGAGCATTTCAATTGGTCTCCATTTATAAGTGAAGCAGCCTCATTTGCGCCTCCCAGAATATCATTATTCCTTACATTTTTCGCTTCTCTCCATTTTGAGAGTCGTTGAGTAAAATAACATACTAAAAATGCACGTTTTAGAATGAAATACATTTAGAAATGTCTACATTAAGATAAAAACACACATCTAAGTATCTATTTTGTGATAAAATACATATGTAAAAACTGATTTGCATATGTTTTTTCTTTTAAAAATCTCAGATGAAAGTGGAAATGGTACAGAATGAACAAAAGAACATATATGACCCACAGACCAGAAATAAACTGATCCACCCATCCCTAATGTGGACACTATAATGTTAGTAGGGGGGATGCTGTCTGCATATGTATAGGCTGTTATTCTGCATGTTACATGTCACCAGACCATTCATTATCATTATCATTATCATTATCATTATCATTATTTATTGAATTTATATACCACCTGTCAGGGAACTGCCATCGGACGGAAGGGAGGTGAAAGGGCTCACACAGGTTGGGAGAGACGCAGCAGCTGAAGAGGGAACCAGCAGGGAGGTGAAAGGGCTCACACAGGTTGGGAGAGACGCAGCAGCTGAAGAGGGAACCAGCAGGGAGGTGAAAGGGCTCACACAGGTTGGGAGAGACGCAGCAGCTGAAGAGGGAACCAGCAGGGGGAGAGGAGCTGAGCTGGAGGGATGGCTCAGAGACACTTCCAGCGAAAACAGTGGGGAGGTTTCAGGACCTCCTGTAAGAACACCCACTCCTCGCCGGAAACTGTCACGCAGAGAGTCCAGAAGACGTGTTTCCGTTAAGGAGCTTTTATGTTGGAAGCGATTACGAAAGCAACCACTGTCGGAATCTGCTAGTGACTAGAGGAGCCATGTCTGAGGGGCTCCGTCACAGACAGAGGTTTGTGGACTTGAACAAACTCTGAGGGGATACGATTTTACGCACAAGCAGCTCATCATCTCATCACAGCATTCCGACAGTCTTTGAAAGCAGCTTGTGCAGGAGAAGGCATCATGAGCAACCCAGCCGGAACCGGAGAAGCAGGAGCTGGAGTGGGTCCAAGCCTGGAAGAAAGGTACCGGGTGTTGGAGGTCCAGCTGGCGATGCAGACGGCGAGGCTTGAGGAGAGGAGGGCTCAGGATGCAGACAAAAAAGGGGAAAGCCACCCAGCTCGCCAGAAAGGTACCAGGATTGGTGCAGAAGTTTGGGGGGGGAGCCCAAAAACTATCATGGCTTTCGGACAGAAATGCAATATGCCCTCAATCTGCAGTTTGATGAATTCCCTGACGAGGAATCACGAGTGGCTTTCGTGATTGAGCATCTTGAAAAGGGGGCGAGAGACTGGGTTAGACCCCTGATGGCAGCGAATAGTGACGTCCTAAAGGACACAATGAAGTTCTTTCGCGCCATGGATCTGATGTTTTCCAGCGATATTGAAAAGGGAGTGGTGCGCAGACAGTTAATGGCTTGCAAACAGGGGAGCCGATCTGTCCGTGAGTACTGGACTGAGTTCACCATGCTTGTTCACAGATTGGGGTGGGACTTATCGGCGGAACCCATTCAAATGCTCTTTGAAGAAGGGCTTTCTTCGGCTGTGAAAGACGAACTTTCCCGGGCGCCCAGGGTGGAGTCTATGGACCAGCTGACCAAATCAGCGCTGGCCATAGGAGCGCGCCAGGAGGCGAGAGCATTGGAGAGGCGGGAAGGGAAAGGGGAACGTTGGAAGGAGTTCCGCATTCCAGACATTCCAGAGCCAACTTTCCCACCGGCAGAGCCGATGGAAATCGGAACAGCGCGCGCGCGCAGTTTCAAAGCCCAGTGAGGGGAAAAAAGGAGGGAAAAGGCGCCCGGAAATGCTATCTCTGCCAACAGCCAGGTCACTTTGCCAGAGTCTGCCCCCAGAGGAAAGAATGGCAAGGGATGGTAGGAGCTGTGGATGGAAGAGAGGAAGATATACCGCCTGGCTGCCACTATCGGGGCACAGCAGCCAGGCCAAAGAGCAGTGAGAGTGCCCACGCCAGAACCTCCTAAACCCGCCCTAGTGATAGAAGTGACGCTAGAGCTGCCAAACGGACACCCTCTAAAGATAAAGGCGCTGTTGGACTCAGGCAGCTCCTGCAATTTCATGAGCAAAGAGTTTGCAGCTGAACACCAGATACAGACGATCCCTTTAAGCAGCCCCCTGCAGGTGACCACGATCGATGGCAGGGAGCTGTTGGGGGGAGAAGTCAGCTTGCAGACCGTCCCAATGATAATGAAGGTAGCAAGGCACACCGAACTGATAGCTTTTAATGTGGCCACCTTGGGAGGAGCTCCCATTATATTGGGGATGAGCTGGCTAGCGTTACATGATCCGCTGGTGGGCTGGCATCAGAGAGTGGTTTCTTTTGGTTCAGCACATTGCTTAGAACACTGCAAAGAGGGAAAGGGTTTGGCAGGGGTCCAAGCCACCCTAGCAGGGACTGAAGTAACAGAGAACGTGAAGGTACCACGACAATATGCAGATCTCCGTGACGTCTTCAGCGAAAGGGAAGCTGACCAACTACCCCCGCATAGACCCTTTGACTGTCAAATCAATTTACTCCCTGGAGCACAGCTCCCTGTAGGCAAGCTGTACGCCATGTCAGACAGAGAGATGCAGGAGTTAAGAGAGTTCATTGACAAGAACCTGAAGAGAGGGTTCATCAGAGAGTCCAGGGCGGTGGGGGCAGCCCAGTGTTTTTTGTGGATAAGAAAAACACGAACAAGCCGAGGCTGGTGTGTGACTTCAGGGCCTTAAATGCAGTGTCAGAACCAGTAGCCTTCCCTATGCCCAGGATTGACGACA